AATAAAACCGATTTTTTGAAAATAGACTTTGCAAAGACAGACATTTGGCATGTTGAAGTTGAACTTGAGTTTAGTTTCTAAAGTAAATAATTCAAATTTTTTTTGTCCTTTAAAAAATTTCTGCAGGAAATGCTTCTAAAATAACTGATATTCCCCTTGTTAAAGCTGGGATTGTTGCTGGATAGATTCCAGCATATGTTCTTTTCCTCAGGGAAAGAATGTGGGGGAATGTTCTACTCCATGCCAAAGAACACATAGGCTGTAATCCCTCACATCTAAGAGGACCTTCTGTATAGTTGCAATTACTTGGTATCATGTAAAATGTGGCCTGGAGATTAAAATAAGAAGTAAAGTGTTTACTGCTTGTAGATCAATGAGAACGTTCTTTCTGATGTGTGTGTGGAGACGTTGGTTGTGAAAACTGTTGTACTGCAGCAGAAGCAGTATGGCTGCCTGTGTGTATTTAGCATTCACATTTGTATTTCATGTGGATGAAGAATGACTGGAATATTAACTACATTAGATGGAACTTGTTTAGTCCCAAATCCCTAGCACATATGACTGGTCAATAAAAATGTTCTAAATGAATGAGCTAACAGCAAAACAACCAGAACTAACAACCACATCTGTCACTTTTCACTGATAAACTTTGTTAGAAACTTGGTGTAGAGGTGACACCTCTTGCTGTTTGTTGGGTAGGCTGATTAGACACTGCCTGCTTGTCCCCCTCACCCCTGGTGCCTCCTCCCAGTCTCAGTATCTGAACATATGCTCCCCTGGGAGGAGCTGGGTTTCCTGTGCTCATGGTTGTGGCCGTCGTCCCATTTCTGGCAGCAGGTAGTTTTTTAGTGTTCGTTGGATGAATACATAATGCTTTATAGCTACATAATGCTCTCCTGATTGGTTTCAGCAATGGGCAACTGCATGAGGATGGCTGATAGTGCCTTTTCAGTCTGACCAGTGACAAAGATTGAACAGGCCAACTTCACAGTCAGAAAGCTTTGGGTGACAAGGAGCAGAGCTGGAACTGCAACCTCTGAATCTGTTGATTTCTTCCTCCTTTGCTCCACAGCAGCCTTTGAAACTTAGTGAACATTAATTTCCTTCCTCTACCTATTCACACTGTTTACTTGAGTGTGTGCTGGGGAAAGGCACTGTGGGAAACATATTTCAAATGGTCATCTCTGATCATCAGCCACAAACTTTCTTGGGGGCCAGGTTACGGATTCACTGTACTAGTTCTTTTCCCCTTACTGAGATGGGAACATAGGATATGCTCTTTTGGGGAAAATTTTTTATTTTTAAATTGACCCTCATTCTTTTAAACATTTTGTACTCTCCTGTTTCCCACATATTTTAAGGTATACATTTGTTAATATTAAAGATCTAAGTTTTAAAATCAAAATTTCTCAGCTCTGAGAATATGTTCCAAAGTACTATTTCGTGCCTTGTTCGTCTGGTCATTTTGAGATAGAAATTGCAGCAGTGTTGAATTGCTCAGCTGATGTTTCCAAGAATGAAGCTCAAGAAGTAGAAGCCTTCTCTGTGGCATTAGACTAGGCGAAAAAAAGATGCTGGTCAAACAAACACTTAGGTTCCTGAATGATGGCAGTGTCGAGTTTTGCCAAAGCCGTTCACTGGAGCCAAAGGCCGACTGACACACTGCCAAGAATCCAAGTAATGAAAGATTTCAAAATCTGTGAATCTCACTGAATTCTCATTTCTACTTAGTCTTCTATTAAGTAAGATAATTTGGTGACTTCAGCAAGATCTCTCTAGCTTGTGGCTGATAAGTCAGAGTTCATTCTATCAGACTGCTAAATTTAAACTTCCTGTCATTGTCTTACAAGTGACTTTAAAGAGTTATCTGTATAATACTCTCCCACAAAGCTCTGATTTTATTGTGAAGTATCAACAAGAATCTAATTCCTTTTGCTCACTTTAGAGATTAACCTTCAATATTAGAACTGAGGGATAGAAGGGAATAAATAGCTGCTGATAGTGTGTTCTCTCTAGGATCCAGCCATGGAAATACAGGATGGGGATTTTAGGAGCAGTTTTGGGTGGAAAGAAAGCATTTTCTTTTTCATCTGCTGCTGGCCTCACTTGTGGCAGGACAAAGCCATTATGTTTGCTTGGGCTCTTACAAAGCTGGATCACATCGTCTCTGAGGCGGCTTTTTTTTTTATTATTAGCAGCTTCACAGTTCATGCCTTTGTTGTCCTGCTGCACAGTAGGGAAAGAGTGACGAGCAGTGAGCTCAGTAAAGGGTTTTCCGGAAGGCTTTCTGAGTTTGTCATTGCCATCTGTCCTCTTTGGTCTCTTGCTTTTTAGGTTGGTCACATTTTGTGAGAATGAGGTTTCTGATTGCTGTGGCATGGACACTCTAGGTAGACACAAAGAACTGGAGGTGAGCAGTATTTCAAAGAAATAATTATGAAGAAAAGCAAAAAAAGCCTGGATGTTCTCTTAAGGTTGTATGAAACATAAGATGTGGAACATTCGGATTATTTTATTTTCATTCCTAGTACCTTGTTAATTTAAAAACCCTTAAAACTTGGGTTGTTTTTGAAGTAAGCAGCCAGGTCCCGATGCCATGAATGACTTACTTCCAAAGCAGATGAACATGCATCTTTCAGGCTTCTTGCAGGTGACTTGGCACCGGTGTAGTTTTATTTGTTGAAAACCTTTTGTCCCACTTAACGCAGGTGGATTGTGTTGTTATCTACAGGGCCAGGACTAGGACCAGGACTTTCACTGCGTGATAGGCAGTTTCTGTTGAGGACACCTGCCACCTGCACACAGTGCAACCATTGTTTCTTCCCTTGGACACATTCTGGGCAGAGCTGCATTGTTGTTGTTTTTCTTTTAATACCCTGGGGTTGAGTCTTCACTTTTTTTCTGTGTGCATTTAACTTTTAGTGGAATACATTCTCCTGGCTTAGCTGATACAAATTTAATACAGTGTATGTTGTGATCCAAGGGGTGCATGCTGAGACACAGTAGTTGTGAAAAGAGGCTTGGTTGAAGCAGAGGCAGGTGCGCCTGACTCACATCCCTGCTTCCTGACTGTGTGGCTAAAGGAAGAGCAGTTTAACTCCTTGGGCCTGAGCTTCTTGGAGTAAGAGATTGTCAAGACCTCTAGCATTCAGCTTCCAGTTTTGCTTTGTATTTCTTGGGATGCTAAGAGCATCATAAGTGGAGCGTGGCAGGGGTTGCTAAGGGCCCTGTACCTGTGAAACCATGAAGTAACCCTAAGAGATGCTCTCTTAATTAAGTGACAGGTGTGTTGCATAGTCGGTGATCAAGAAGTTTGGATGAGATGTTCTGCCTGTGGCCAGTTTCCACACTAAAAAAGAAAAATGTTTGCATTTCTAGGAAACTACCGTTTTTCAGCCTTGAACATGTTACTGGGTACTTGGGTTTGAACTTACAAATGAAGAACAACAGATCAAGCATCTCTTAACTGAAATGCTTGAAACCAGAAATGGTTCAGAGTGCACATTTTTTTGGACTTTGGAATGTTTGCATGTACATAGTGAGCTATTTTGGGGATGAGACTCATATCTGAACACAGACTTCATCAGTGTTTTGTGTATATCTTATAGACAGGGCCTTGAAGGGAATTTTACACAATGTTTTGGAAAATTTTGTATAGGAAAGCATGTTTCATAGGTTGGATTTTCCACTCATCTTGTCATGCTGCCTTCAAAAAGCTTTATATTTTCGACTGCTTTGGATTTTAGATTTTTGTATTAGGGAGGCTCAGCCTATAACTGAGTTGAGATAGGTGAACACTTCTTAATTTATTAGCTCTGTTATTCAGATAAGAGGCAACTTAGGATAAGACTAATAATATAGCATAGATGTCCCATTTTTGTTTTATTTTCTCATACTCTTTTAAAAAAACCCCTCACTTAAAAAATTCTAATTATATGAGCAATATATATTAACTCTGCAAAGCTTGGAAAATACCAGTAAGGAAATATAAGTGGCTTCTAAAAATGCTGTTATTCACACTTTGGTGTCTTATTGTGATCGTAGTGTATATATTGATGTCTTTTTCTTGCTGTATTCTTTTTGAGGTGATTTTTGGGGACTGAAGGTAGAAATTAATGTAATATTATGCTTGGCATGCTTGTGATGAGGACTGTTTTGATTTACAGAAATAGAATTGTAGCCTAGTATCTGAAAATAACATTTGTCCTGCTCCCTCTTAACAGGCTTTCAGTATTTAGCCTCTATAGATGTTGTCATAACTACTACTATATTTAACAGATGAAAACTTCTTAATCTATTAGCTCTTATTGTTCGCTAATTATTTGCATAAGCTTCCCTCGTGAGTTTTTCTGTGTCAGTATTGTTAGCTGCAACAAAGTGAGAGTGAGTTATTTTAATGCCATTTTTCTGGGTGCCCTGAGTGGGCATGGTGACTAGGGTGGGTCAGGACACATATTTGGCAGCAGGGTGGTTAAAGGGTTCCTTTTGCTCAGATAGAGTATATACATTTGATAATATTTATGATTTACTTGTTGAGTATTGGTTTTATATATAATTTCTTCTATCAGTAAATGAAAAGTTAATTTCCCCTTTGGAGTGTGTAACCTGTAAAAAGTTCTGTTAGGCCATTTACACTGCATTGTGAATACAGTTCTAAATCCTGAACCACATTAGAATATTTTCATGACCCTTACTCCTGTGTCTTTGGTGGTGTCCTTTGAAGTCTTAAATGTTTTCATGTTTGATTGAGATTAAATCTGGGTTTCATTTTACTTTTAGCCATATTGAGCAAGTTAATTTTCTGTTTGAGTTTCTAAGGGGAATGACTCCAGGCCTCTGTGTCCCAAGAATTCAGACCAAGCCCTGCCAGAACATTCCTGTGGTTTTCCATGGGGCAGATCACTGTGTTCATGAAATTTTAGTTGTAGTGTGTGTTTTCTGTGGTTAATTAAAACATCTGGCTTTTAAATTTTCCACAAACAGAACAAAGTCGTATGGCCATACCTTTTCAGTAATGATTAAATCCTTCAGCCCTCTCTTGGCATAGCCCGACTTGTCTTTAGGGTACCTTATAAGCTGTTGTCTGTGTTCATCAATGATTTTAAACATTTGGAAGGTGCTTGATGTTATCCTGCCAACTATGTGCCCTTGAGAGGGAGACAGTTTGTGAATATGAATCCTTACAATGGCTTCTGGCCTTTGCCCTCCAGGTTGGAGCTGCCTGGGTGAGCTGCTGCAGTCTCTAGCCAAGCATGCTGTGGTCGGATCTGCCCAGCCGCGGAACAGAAATGTTTGCTGGATGGAAAATCCATAAAAGAAAGCTCCTGTGAAACACTGAGACAGAGGACAACTTCAGCAAAATCAGGTTAGTATAAACATAAGAAAGGCTGGCTGAGGTTCATTGGGTCAGATAGGGAAAAGTTTCGTTTCTTCCATCTGTGTTTTGAGAAAACCCCAAATAATTATCCTCAGCTGTTTGGGAGATTCCTAGCATCCTGTTAGGGGTGTATCCTCACAGCTTTCTTTGTAAGGCATATTGTTGTCTATCTTTCCTTCCCTTTCTCTCCTCTCCTCTGTCCCATCCTCTCTTTCATCTTTTCCTCTCTCTGAGAAGGATCTTCAGCACAAATTACAGAAAGCCACAACCAGAGGTCACCTATAACAGCCTCAGTGATCTTGGCTTTATTTGGAGAGAAAGCCGTGTCTGCCCTTGTGGGGTTGTGCTGGCATTTTCAGAGACTTGGGCTCATTTATGTTTTCACACTCTGAAGGTTGGGTCATTTCTGTGGGGCTACTTCTGGCTGTGCATACTTTGTTTGCTTGGGAAGATTGTAAGTACTTCTTTTCCCCCAAACAAAAACTACCGACACATTCTTCTTCAGCAGTGTGTGCATTTGGCATTAAGATACTCAGATAGGACGAGGGAAGAGAAAGGCCCTGAATAAAATAAGCGTTTGAATAAATGCAAAATAGCCTCGCTGTGAACCAGGAGAATGAAACAGCATCAATAACCCCATGGGTGGCAGTAAGGTGGAAAATAACTCACTTTGAGAAAGTATATTATACAGGGGCGGGCATTGTAGATAATTTCTATTGGCTATTCAGTGGGTAACTCGGCACGATTCGTAAAAAGCAGTTAACAAATACTCCGTTGGAAGGAGTGAGCCAGCAGGCTTTTAGAGCCGATGAAGTGGTGAGTGTCTGTTGACCTTGGTCGCCAGCCTCTCTTTCCCCCTTCTTTTAATAAGTCACCCACGTTTTCCCTGGGCAGTTACCCTTGCCTCATTGTCAGTCTGTGTCATTAGAGGCGGTGACTCCCTTGACTCAGTCCTGGGCATGTGACAGAGTCTGACCAGTGATAATCACAGTGGTCAGTTAGAGGGATCCCCACAGTACTTCACTTTGGGGAAGCACTGTTGTGGAAACTATTGAAAAGAGAGTTTGTTTTCCTTTTTGTGAGTTTAAGTGTTAAGCTGGAGCTGCCTGTGGCAGTTTGTGTGTGTGTGTGGGGTTGAACCCAGGGCCCTGTGCATGCTAGGCAAGTGGCCTACTACTGAGCTACATCCCCAGCCAGAGGGAAAGACTTTCTAAGAATTCAGTCAGCATAGTAATAAGAGCAGGGAGATGGAGGAAAGGAATTGAAAAGGGAGGGACCCCCCCCAACACAAACACATACACACACGGATACATACAAGCACACCCATACAAATGCTGAGATACACACAGATGCACATATATATGCAAATATACGTATGCATGCACACGTTCATTTACATACTCATGTATATGCACACACACAAATTTGGCCCCCAACTTAGCATAAAGCATCTCCCATTTCACTTGCCTGGCAGCTTAGTTTGGTAACTATGTCATTTACATCACATACTTCCTGATACAGTACCTTCTAGGTTTGGGAACTCAGTGCAGAAATGACTGGCTTAGTCTCTATCTTTGGAGGCTGAGAGTATAAGAGATGGCCTGGTACATCTTTGGGTAGCTGACATGTAGCATGAAAGAGTATAACTAGAGGTAGAGCAAGGCCCTGTGGGGGCAGAGGTGAAACTGCATTCTGCTGGGTGGTGGAGAAAATAGCAGAGAGCACTTTTAACAAAGGAGAAATGGGACTTAGGCTTCAAAAACATTTTTAGAGCTCCATTTAATTCTGTTACTTGGTTTTTGAGTGTAAAGAAAGGAAGGCTTAACAGAGCCTATAGTTAAAGCAAATTGCAGATAAGGAAGATAATTTCAGAGTCTCCCCAGCAGTGGAATCTTGTTATTTACTGTAAATACAATTGTTTCAGGAGCACCAAATAAAAGGTTATCAGAAAGCTGTCCAGGGTTCATTTTAACATCAGAGGGTAGCAGCCATTGTTTCCAAAACCTCAGAGCTAGTTTTGTGTTTAGAGCAAACTCCAACTGTGCCAGGGAATACTGAAGCTTTATTTCCTCCTGTGACTGTTAGACTTTATTATCATTACTTAATTTTTTATAATTAACATAATTTGCTCAATTTTAACTTATCAGACTTGTTTTCAGGAGTTTAGGTTATGGGAACATGGTACAGAATGTATAAGAGAGTTCCATATAACCCCTGTTGGTAGTTTTCTCTATTAATAATATCTTGCATTAATGTGACACATTTTTGTAATCAATGAGCCAGTTTGATATATTAACTGAAGTTCATAATTTATGTTAGGTTCACTCTTTGTATATGTGTTCAATGGATGTTGAAAAATATTTTCAATGGTAACATGTATTTTTATGTGATATACAACTATATATTTTATTATAAGTATATATCATACAATTAAATCATAATGTAGTATCATACAAAATAGTTTCTCTGTCCTAAAAATCTGTGTCCTACCTACTGATCCTTTCCTATCTTCCCTTGAATCCCTGATTATATTACCATTTCCATAACATTACTCCTCAGAACATCATGTAATTGGAATCATATACTACGTAGTCTTTTCAAATTTGCTTTTTTTACTTAACAAAGTTCATTTCAGTCTCCTCTGTCTTTTCATGGCTTGATAGCTCATTTTTTTGCAGTACTTAATAACACTGCATTGTCTGGTTGTTCCACGGCTTACTTACTCATTCACCCGTTGAAGAAGATCTTGTTTGCCTCTAAGTTCTGCTAATTATCAATAAAACTGTTATTAACGTTTCTTTGTAAGTTTTCATATGGAAAATTTTTAATTCACTTGGGTTTTTTATTGTTAAGTATGATGTTAGCTATAAAGATGTTCTTTATCAAGTTGAGAAAGTTCCCCTCTAGTCCTAGTTTTCATGAGAGAATACTGGATTTTTTTCCAGATTTTTTTGAAGGTATTGTTATGTTCATGTGATTTTTCTTTAATTTCTTATGTGACAGATTATATTAATTTTATTTTGAATATTGAACCAGCTTTTTGCTAGGTATTGCATTGAATTTCAAGATCAAGAGTTCTAATACATGAACATAGGATTTGTTTTCATTTCCTTAGGTTTTTAATATTTTTCAACAGTGTTGTATTGTTTTCAGGGTATAAGTCTTGTACTTCTTTGTAAAATTCATTTCTAAGTATTCTTTTTCTTTTTGATAACTTTACAAATGGAATTGTTTTCTTAGTTTCACTTTTGAGTTATTCTTTGCTAAAGCATAGAAATATAATTTTGTATAATGATCTTGTTTCCTGCAACTATGTTGTTATTCATGCAAGTACTGATAATTTTTTTTTTTTTTTTTCTGGTACCGGGAATCAAACTCATGACCTTGCACTTGCCAGGCAGGCACTGTGCTGCTGAGCTAAATCCCCAGCCCCAAGTACTGATAATTTTTTAATGTATGTGTGACTTCCGTAGTATTTTCTTTATAACAGATTGTATCTTCTACAAATAGAGATAGTTTTATTTCTTGCCCAATCTGGATATTATTATCATTTTTCTGCAGTAATTTGAAAACTTGACTGTACATGAGAAATGTACAGAATTGTACACTTTGGAGTTTCTTATGAAATCATTCTATAATGTAGATTTTGTATAAAGACAAAAAAATGATAATTATGAGATTCACTTCCTCATAGTTGACCTTTTTTACTCATGCTTTCTGTTTTGTTTTGGTAGTGGAGATTGCACTGATGTACATGTCCAGACTGTCTTTTAATTTTTGAGACAGATTTTGAGACAGAGTCTCACTAAGTTACTGAGTTGCCAGCTTGTTCAGGCTGGGCTTGAATATGCTGTCCTCCTGCCTCTGTTTGCAGAGTATTGGGATTATAGGCATGTTACAGGCATGTACCACCACCTCTGCTCAATCAAGTACTTCTTAGCCATTCCTATATTTTCCTCAGGACAATCACTGTGCAAATTTTTTGCCTATTGTTATGTAGGGTTGTTTTGGTCTCTGTCTGGACTCCTGATATACATCCTTTATTAGATACCTGATTTATACGTACCTTCCTCCAATCTCTGGCTTTGTCTTTTCATTTTTTTATGCTGCTGTTTTTCTTCTTCATAATGAAATAATGTACATTTAAATTAATGTTAAATTTTCTCAGTATAGGAAAGTGTGTGTGTGTGTGTGTGTGTGTGTGTGTGTGTGTAAACTTTTCATAATGGGGTCTGTTGAATTGCAAAAGTTTTTAATTTTAAGGAAGTTCAATTTATGAATTTTTTTTAAAACATGATTTTGATGTTTCTAAGAGCTCTTTGCCTCATGAAAGCTTGCAGAGTTCATTTTATTTTAATTTTTTTTTTCATATCCCATACTAGCACTATTCCTGAAAAAAACTATCTTTTATCTACTGATTTTCATGGTACTTTTGTAGAAAATCACTTGGTCATAAAGATAAAGGCTTATGCCTAGAATCTCAGCTCTGCTCTTTTGATTTACATGTCTGTCCTTATACCAGTACTGCATTACATTTAGCTTTTTGAATGCAATTTTTGTATGAAAAAGGTTTGTTCAAGAAACAAACTTTATTTGTAATATTTCTCTTTTTTAAAAATTTTCTTTGGTTCTTTTCCTCTCCTTTTTTTTGTGCCATTAAGTACTAATCTCTTTGTGATAATTATGAAAGTCTTAAATGGTAGAAGATTATGTGGAATTGATCTATATGTTTATTCCAGATTATTGTGTGTATTAATTTATTTTATTATTTATTTTTTGTTACTGGGGATTAAATCCAGTCCATGCTTAAAATAAGCATACGTTCTGCTTTGAGGGAGAGTCCAACTCTCCCCCGCCTCCTTGCCCTCTCTCATCCCCTCCCTCCCTCCCTCTCTTTCTCTCTCTCCCTCCCTCCCTCCCTCCCCCTCTCTCTCCCTCTCTGTCTCTGTCTCTGTCTCTCTTTCTCTCTCTCTCTGTCTTGACAGAGT